GCTAGGGCCTGAGGCGGCAGCAAAGTTGACTTATTATTTAATGAGCATAGTTTCAGTATGGGAAGATGGAAAAGTTCTGAAGATGAAGGACAGTGATGATAGCACAGTAATGCGAATATGCTTTCCCCCACTTTTTTTTTTTTTTGGTGCCAAGGATTGAACACATGGTCTTATGCATGCTAAGCATGCACTGTACCACTAAGGTACATCTCTAACACAATATGAATGTACTCAATGCCATTGACATGTACTCTTAAAAATGCTTAAAATTATAAAAAAAAAATGTAGCTGTGATTTATAGCTCTCCCAGCAGGCAAACCATTTCCAAATTAAGCTAGTCCGAGGACCATTTCATTCCCTTGGCCTGAATGTGGGTCCTCAAGTATTACTCTGGAGGTTCTGTAGGAAGTCAAAGATCTGGTTAAGTTCTATTTAGGTTTCCTGATTTGAAATTGAGCAATAGGAGGCACTTACAGCTGTTTTGAAGGTCATTCTCTTTCCCTTATTTTCCCAGCTCTCTCCGTAACCAGCACTGTAACCCAGAAGTCCTGCTGGGGTTCTGAGAGATGATTTGGTTGTGCCTCTGCCCAACATCAGAAACGAGAAAAATTACAAAAAGAAAAAGGGAATTCAATCAGTCTTCCTCAAATTGGGAAGGTAGCTAATCTACCTCATTCCACCCTACGGAAGTGGTTAAAATATATAGGGTGGGGGGAAAGAAATGTAATTGTGTAGATTCAATCAGGCTGTGCTAGCCAGATATTTTTCATAATTCCAGTTCCAATGATGCCCACCAATGGGCCAAAGGGACATCTTTTCAGTTCCATCCTAAGTATGAGGAAGCTGGGATGGAGGAATACTGGTTATCTGGAAATTGGGAAGATAGGGGCTTTTAATTTTAGAGGTGCTCTATTATACCCGCACACACCTGCGTGGATTTATTAATAAATCTTTTTGACTATACCACAGAATCATATCTGGATCCACCCCTGCCACGCTCGGTTATTTCTCGATGTACTACAGTGATCTTCTATTGTCTCCCTGCCCCAATTCCTCTCTTACCATTCACTGTCTGTGAGATACCCAATGTGACATTCTAGAACCATAAATCAAACAATCCTAATTAAGCTTCTCCAGAGACCCTCACCATAATTGTTCTTTTCAACAGAATATCAGCAAAGATTTCTGCAAAAGAGCTTAAATGTGGTTAGACTTCCTATTTTCTGTTGCTCTGTCTTGCAAAAGCTGTTTGTCCCTGGATTTCATGTTACTTCTGTTTTTGTGGAAAAATGTGTAAATCCTCTGACTAATCTTAAAAAATGAGACAAAAAGTACTCTGTGAACTCAAAGAAAAGAAATACTTTTATGTAGACTAAATAATTTTATGTAAAATGTAAACCTCCAAGCCCCTCTTCCCACGAGGTATAAAGTTCAAAGAATTTCTAGACTCATTGTTCAGAAGAAAAAATTTTCGGGCACAAGCCATACTCTGAACCGGCTGCAGCCAACAAACCTGCTTCCTACTAATTCCTCGGGTGTCCAGGCTCCTCTGTCCTACATCAAAAGTATGCTATGCCCCACCCCCCCACCTCCATCTCTCCGAAGAATGAAATTAAAACAAATTTAAGAACTCATTCTGCTGTTATGTTATCCTATCAATGTTCAGGTAAAACTAAAACTAAAACTTCTTATGCACATGGCTGTAAGATCAGGTGCCTGCTCAGTTCTCCAAACCCAGCCTGTCCTCATTCTCTTGTCCACCGTGCTCTGGTTATGTTGTCCTGCTTTTGGCAACTCTAGCCTGCTTCATTCCTTCTCAGTTTGGGCCCCACTTTCCCACTTGGTTCCATACCCTAGATGTCTTTCTTTCTAGAATATTCTTCCTATGGTTTCTGTTCAGCTGTCCTTGAACTGTACAGAAAAAAATATACCCCCCCTCAAGGAGGTCTTGCTGAGTCTTTGTGGGGGCTGGTCACACTATCCTTTTGCCTCACTGGCATTTGTTGCTATCAGATATAAATTATTTATGCACTGCTTTGTTTCCCTCTTCCAGAATGTGAGCCCCATGAGAGCTGGGGGCCTTGATACAATGCTCACCTCTGTACCCGCTGGACGTAGAAGACACAAAGTATTTATTGAATGAGAGTGTCAACATAGATGCATAAAGATGTAAGACTAGCTTATGCTGTTGAGGAAGCTTTGATTTCCTCCTTTTACTGTTTTCCTGTTGCATTTTCTGATGCTAATTCCACCCTCGATCTTCTCCGTTTCACTTCAGTTTTCAAGGGATTGCCAACTCTTTATTCTTTTTATGCTTTCCCATCATAAGCACACAGCCTACTTCTTGCTCCAGTCTCTAGTTCCCTCTGTAATCAATCACACATGCATGAGAGAGAGTTTGATGCAGCATGTGTCAGTCCCTCACTTCTGTGCAGATAGACCCTAAGCATACAGTGGTGTGTGCACTGGCATATGTCTGAGGCAGACAGGATGAGGTCATCCCTTTGTTCTCATGCTTGCTTCCAAGATCTGCCTGATCCTACTGTCCTGCCATTTCCTGAATTCTGTGCTGGTCACTTGGAGGCCCTGCCCCTCCCAAGCCTTCAGCTTTCTATCTGCCCTGGGTGGGTCCTGAAAGAGTATTTTCCCTTTCTGGGCCACAGTGTAAGTCATCTTATGTCCCTTTTATACAGTTAGTTTCTCTCAATGAGTTATTGGGAAGGGAGCTCCATTAAAAATATGGAAGGAGATGAACATTTATTGAGTACTTCCTGTGTACCAAGTACTCTGCTAATCCATGTTTACATATATCACTTATTTCTCATAAGTTGCCTGTGAATAAGTTCTCTCCATTTCCCCAATGAGGAAGCTGAAGCCCAGAGAACTGAATCAAATTTCCAGAGCCCGACTGATACCAAGATCCTGCAGAGCACATGAGCATAAGGGAGCAGAAGAAGGTGGGCTTACCTGGAGCAGGGTAGCCATGTAGGGGGAAGCAGAATCATGTAGGTGAGAAGGGATCTGTGTATAAAATGACCACCATTTTCATCTAGCAATACTGAGAAGTAGTGAGAGCCTGTGCTTTTAGAAGGGTACTTGGGAAGAATAAATAACTCCTGTCTTTTAGAACTTAAATTTAACTCCTAGCTTTGTCTTCTACTGACTATGCGCTCTGCAAGTTACTTAGCCTCTCTGAACCTTAGTTCCTGCACCAGTGAATTGGGTACCACTACCTGTTGCAGCAGTAATTATATGCATATGTGAGTACTGAACATAGTGCTTGCCACATTCCAAACAATAAGTAGTAACTCGTAATGGTTTTTCATTATTCTCCCTCCTACTCCAATATTATACTGAGTATGTAGTGATTCTTTCCATGTCTGTTTTGTCCTGTGGTCCTGAAATAAGTCTGTTGCATCTGTAGCTGATGTAATTGAAAGAGCTGAATAAACTTTGGATGAGCGAAGGAAACGGAAATCTTTGTCTAAAGCTGCACATGTTTCTTCCTTCCATATTGCAGATCTGGCAAAGTTACTCTTGCTACCTGAAGTGCAGATATTTACTTTTGTGGCTATGCTAAGTACCCTTGGTTTTTAAGAGGAGGGATCATTTTTTTTTATTAAGAAAATTTTATTAAATATTATTGCGCAAGAACTTGGCATCTCATTCAGGCCAATGAAAATCTAATGTAACAAGTCAGCCACTCCTAGTATAGGTATATCTCCCTTTTGAGAAGGGCTTGGGCAGAAGACTTAGAATAAGTGGAATCTGTGTATCTTAAATCCCATCTCTCCTGAATTTTTAAATTTTTTCAGGTAAGGTATGTAGTGAATGATGTATCTTCTAATTTGGCTTTGAGGTTATCTATATGCATAAAAGAACCTTGTCATTTAAAGGTATCCCACAAGAAATCCTATTGTAATGTGCGAAATCACTGGGTGTTTGTCAAGTGGGTGAAGTGCCAAACCTGCTGGGTTGCTCCAGGGATAGAGCCAAAGGCCAGGGACAGGCAGGGCCTGGAAAGTCGAACCCCACCCTGAGTGAATTCCTGTGTCCATTGCCCAAAGGGACAGAATTAACTCGGTCTTCCTCAGGCCGATTGCCAACCTAGAAAGTGAGTCTGTGGATGGGGCATGACAACCATCCTCTAGGTATTATGAGCATGAACTGTGCCTTATGGACAGGAGCATCATAATTCACTCAACGTTGCACACAAAGGGAGAGAAGGCAATTGGTTCAGGAGGAGCAAGCTAATTGAACAAACCAGGACAGTGCCAATTGTGTGCACTAAGTCAGTTGGATGAAGTAGGAGGGTTGTGATATGAATGGTCCACCATTGCGCAGGTCTTACTAAAGGCTCCTGTGGGTGGAGCTGCTCTTTCGCCTCCCTGCTCAACACAGACCCACCTATGAAACTGGGGTCTTTCCAGGTGGAAAGCTGCAGGGACTTCACCTGGGGGAAGCTCTGAAGACCAGGGCGAAACCTCACAAGGGTCACTTTGCTGTTGGCTAGTATTATGTGCTTTCTAAACATGTCTTATTTATTTTTGAGGAAATGAGTATCTGAGGAAATTGTATTATAACAGGTCTCCTCTATTGGAAAACAGAGTGGAAGGTACCTTGAAATCCACCTGCATGACCTTGATTTTTAGAGAGCTTAGACTTGCTGAGATACCTTGCTCTCAGAGAGCCATGGCTTGACATTAGAATCACGAGGAGGGCTTGATAAATTTCTGGGCCCCATCCCTAGAAATTTGGAATCATTATATCTGGACATTTGCATTTCCAACAATAATGCTGCTGCTACTTAAGGAGTCACACTTTGAGAATCACTGCCATGGAGTAATTCATTTCTTCATCATGATTTGAATGTGTGCATATATATATTTTGTGTGTGTATATACATGCATACATATATATACATATGTATTTTTTGTCAAGTTTACTATTGTGTAAACCTGTTTTGTTGATATGCTTGTCTTTTTTCCTTCTCTGAACAGGCATTTTGATGTTGGACTACATAATTTCTTAATCAGGTAAGTCAGTATTTTTTTATTTTTAATACCATTGAATAGCATTTCTATTATGGAAAATTGTAATAGAAAATAAATCCTCATTAAATATCTTGATAAAATAATGGTAATTATACACTTGCAAGAAAAAAAACCTGCTAAAACTATTTTTTTTTTGTTTACCACAATCACACATGATTAAGTAATCAAGGAAATCTATGTTTAGAGATTTGTATCTGAACTAATAGTTAACCAAGATCTTAATTCTAACTACTAGGCTTTTGGAAAGACAAATAGAAAAGGAAGCAGTGTCAGCTTATTCAGACATTAAACAGACCATTTAATGTTTCTCCATTGAATTTAATCTTTTTAAGCTGAATTTAATGCTTAGTATATTCAAAACTGTTAAATATCTTGTTCATAATTGAAATATTACAGATGTCCATTTATACCCTAGCTTATTGGTGATTTTTACCAGAGTTGGCTTATGGGCATATTCATTTCAAGTAGCTATTAGAAAGATTAAATGGTAATGTACCAAATTGTAACAGTACTTGTAAGAATTTATGAGATTTTAAAAAAACATCAACTTGGCCTGGGGATGTAGCTCAGTTGGTAGAGTGCTTGCCTCACATACACAAGGCCCTGGGTTCAATCCCTAGTACCGTGCGCGCGCGCGCACACACACACACACACACAAAACAAACAAACCAAAAAAAAAACCCATCAACTTGCCGAATTTCCTAAATTTTTCATGTTGTGCATGTATTACTCTAAAAATGGTAAAAAATGGTTAAAATGCTTATTAAAAAATAAAGGAAGCAATAATGGTTGTTGAAGTGAACCACTGTAAAGATTATAGGGAAACTGTACATGATTATGTATAGTGATCTGCACATGTGATTTTTAAATGCTATTTCATTCAGATTGCCTGCTAAGCTCTATAGGTCGGTTGCAATTTTTGTATAGATGTTATGGTGGCTCATTTTCCCATAATGCATGACCATCTATTAGCAAGATGTTCTCTGAGGGGAAATGTTCAGAATTCATATCACCTTTATTTACCCTCTCTGCTGGATTGCATATGGCAGTGTCCAAGAGAGGTCACGGGCACCTTGTCTTCTTTTTCAAGCCTCACTCCAAGGATGTACATTTTGAAAGTCTCCTTTGCTTACCCCAGACTGTGGGAATATGGATTGTGCCGTTTTCTTCCAGGAGTTCAATCACAAAAAAGAATCTTTTCTTAATACACCAAGGGTGAATTAATTTTAGTAGCAGAGATAGTTACCAGCAGTCATGGAAAAAGTAGGCAGGAGAAATCTTTATCTCAACTGACCAAAAAGTGTCTGTATATATTTCATGGAATGGTTAGGATTTTTGACTTGGTGGCTTTGATGCTTTGGAAAACTCTTGAAACTGCTCACCTCATGCCTTTTGATGAGTGCAAATTTGTACATAATTTCTCTAACTTTGAGGGCAGAGGGTCGTGCTTAAGCACCTATTGATGGTTAAATTCAGAGTCTTGTATAGAATTAACCTTCAACATTTGTGGTAGGAGTGAATGAAATGAGACAGAGGGTAAGTTGAATTGAAGTTGTCCCATGACTTATTCAGCACATAGTTCACAATTCTAGCATGCACCACTTACTTGGATATGTCTGGGATACTGTCATTTGCAAAAATAGATGTCTGATTAAAAGGCTTTCCTGAGTTTGTTTGCTAAGCTTGTGGTCTGAGCAAGAGGTGGTCTGCCTCTGGGGTCCTGTTTCCCTTTCCTCATCTGGATTCCCATCATTTCTCCTGTGTTGGATCTGTGAAAAGGGAAGAATAGTCAAGTGCCTGTAATGTAGCTGGTGTTGGGATCACTATGTCCTGGCCTTGTGGGGGCAGATACTGGAAGATGCTCTAGCTAGTCACTTTCTTCAGTGATCTGTGAAGCAAGGAGAACTGGGGAGTCAGGTTTCTCTCTGCCCTGCAATCTCCCTAGAGTTTTTCTTGCCCTTACTCTGGGAGGGGCAGAGCAAATTAACACATGCATTACTTTCCTAATCGGTGAATGAGAGGTCAGTTTCTCCTTCTTGCAGGCATCCCCATGTCCCCAGGCCAACAACATAGACTCAAAAGGATTCCCCTTTTCTTTCCTCCTCCCACCTTGGGAGCAGCAGGAGGGAGTGAAGAGATGGGTAGATAGAGGTGGTTTCTGGGAACAGAGTCAGTTCTCTGGATAGCTGGCTTTACTTGCACCTTGCTGGGTGTGGTGGTGCATGCCTGCAATCCCAGCAACTCATGAGGTTGAGGGAGGAGGATCACAAATTGGAGATCAACCTTGGATATGTCTGAGATAACTGTCATTTGCAAAAATAGATGTCTGATTAAAAGACTTTCCTGTGTTTATTGCTTGCTAAGCTTGTGGTCTGAGCAAAAGGTGGTCTGACTCTGGGGTTCTGCTTCCCTTTTACTTCAGGATGCTATGAGAGGACCTGGAGCAACCTTTCTCCTGGTTTCTCTAAAACATTCAATTTTTCAAGTTCCCCTTTTCTAATTTTTCATTGCTTTTATGTTTAAAGATTTAAAAATTAGAAAAGTGTATATATATATATATTATTTTCTATATTGTTTGTATTTAAATATCATTTCATATATATAATTTCAAATATATATTTCAAATAGGGTCTAATTTAGAATTATATATATCTCAAAATGTAAAAAGAACTGGGGATGTATCTCAGTGTAAGCACCCAGGTTCAATACCTGGTTACCTTACAACCCCACAAAAAGAAAAAGAAAAAATGAGCTCTTTGTTCTTCAGAATTGGAAGGTAAAGTATGGGCACTGAATACAATTTAGGACTGAATCCATTACTGAATTATTTCACTGGAATTATGACCCTGGAGTAGTTTGAAGAGGGTGAGGTCCAGTCGAAAGGGAGGTAAGGAAAAGGAAATGACTATTTTTAAGGAGTTGAACTATGAGGTGGAGAAAGGAAAATGAGGACAGCTGATGGAGAAGGTGGGTTGAATGGACTGTTTTTTTTTTTTTTTAAATGGGAGAAACTCTCATGTTTAGTTACCAGAACTTCTTCAGTGCCCTTTAAGTGCAGAGAAAGCGGTTTCAGTTGGGTAGAGAGGCACAGAGTCTGATTGCCAGGGGGCAGTCCGTGGTCCCATGGTTATTCTGGAGAGCAATGGCATTTTTCTGCAAAGCTACTCCTAGAGGAAACCTTAGGGGTTGTAAGAGTCAAGGGGATGGCACCTGATAAATCTAAGGGAGGAAAACATATTTCCCTTTGCACAAGAAATGTGGGAAGAATTGGCATCATTTTTTTGCTTTTGTTTCTAGATTAAGTACATATATTGGCTCCAACGAGCTCTTAAAGCATTTCCCGAATTGACAGACTATATTGAATGCCTAGTGTTTGCATAAAAGAAACTGCAACATGCCTAAAATTAATCAGTTGCATCTTTTACGTTGATGCAAGTCACATTGGCTTCTCTGGAGTGATGTAAATTTCCCCAGAGCCCTATCTGTGATCTCGGCCTGGGCAACTGCACAAAGTAACAGGCTTCCTTGTGAGTTGTTGGAGTGCTGCTCTGAGCTCTGGGGCAGGAAGGAGCTGTCACCTTGAATGAAATGTGAGCGTTTTGGGTATAGGTGCTTAATGGCGACTGTGGGAAAACTCGGCTCAAGCCTTCCACATCTTATGGCAATCAGAGGAAAGACTTTGAGAAAGCAGGGATCACAAGTCACCTGAGAATAACCTGAGAGGACTGTTGGCTGGAATTCTTCATATGTCTCTACAAAAGAAAGCAAGGAAATGACCAACTTGGAAAGAGATTCTAGAATAAAACAGCTGTTTATTATAGATAATACAGCAGCTTGTTTAAATCTATCTTAGCTTAGGCAAAGAATTAAAAAAGGATTCGTGGGGTTTTTTTTGATTCTTTCATTGTACCCTGGCCTTACCACCACTCCTTCCCTTTAAGAAATGGGATCTTGCTATGTCACCTAGGCTGGCCTTGAACTCCTGAGCTCAAAACAATCCTCCTGCCTAAGATGAGAGAATGAGTTTAAGGGATACAGGTTGCTACGAGAGGACCTAGAGCAACCTTTCTCCTGGTTTATCTAAAACATTCAATTTTTCAAGTTTTCTTTTTCGAATTTTTCATTGATTTTATGTTTACATATTTAAAAATCAGAAAAGTATTCATATATATATTGTTTGTATATAATTTCAAATAAGGATCAAGCTTTTTCCCCCCACTAACAAAATTTTCTTTATTCTTTCTGTATTTATTTCAAAGATGTGTGTATCCATGAGAGCTGCTCCTTCTGTAGTCGGGGGGGATGTCTTTATCCTGTTAGCAGAAATGCAGAGTGTGAGAATCCTTCCTTTGATACTTCTTAAGCAAATAGAAAAAGGCCATGGGTCTCTTGCATGGCCCTGAAGTTATTTAAGATGATTTCTGGAGTTAATATGGTTCTTGGAAGATAATTTTCTTTTCATAAGTAAACAGATTCTACATATGGAGTGGCATTCGGTATAGTGCAGGTTGACTCCTATACAAGTGCTAGCATTTATGTGAAACGGCACATGCCCTTCTGAAGCATGATCGATTCTGAAGAAGAGAGGAGGTAGCCAGGTTGGGAGGGTGGCTGTTCACTTCCTGTGCTGTCCTTACTTCCTCTTCTGGAGTTTGGTCCAGGCTGGCCTTTCACCAGGCTCTGGAGTATCTTTGAATTGTCAGAAGGGAAGGAAATGTCATTAAAGTGTGAATGGATGGTCCACTGAGTGCTGAAATGAGCAAAACTGACATTGTTGCCTTTGGCTTTTCCTTGTTGACACCCAATGTCTGACCTATTAATAAATCTAGTTCTACAGAAGAATTGAAGAGTCGTTTGGGGGTAAAAAATAAATCAGGGTTCTGAGCTTTATGGATCACAGTGTAGTTTTTCATTTTACCCTGTACTACCAAACTGACTGCTGTAAACAATTGTTGTAGTTAATTGTAATATTCAGTGTTGGT